CGTAGCGGGGCGTCAGCTTCGAAAGAGTGGTTTCTGTGCTCGCTTGTAGGGCCCCCCCCCCCGGGTTCGGAATCGGGGGGGGGGGAGCGGGGGAAATGTCACCCCCGCGGGGTCGAACCCAGGGGGGGGGGCGGGGAGTAAGCAAACTTATCCCTTACTATGTTGTTGGTTTGCTTCTTGGAAATGCATCCTGCCCGAGGGCCAACGCTGTGATCCATTACTATGCTGTTGGGGCGTTCCTTGCGTCGACGGGCCCGACAACGCGTGCCCGACATGGCGGCGGCACCGCCCCAATCGCCCCTATCGTCGCTATCGGCCTAGCGGTTTCCGTTTGAACCGTCTGAACTAGCTAAAAACCTATGCGTTTCGATAGTTTTCACTTGACTTCGACGCTCTGTCGACACACACAAAAGCGCCGTCAACGGAGCCCACGACTGAAATATATGAAGAAACAATGGTTTTTCAATGGTCCAGGCGGTTCAAACGGGAACAACTCAAGGAAAATTGTACCAAACGCGCCACGGCGAATTGCAAGCGGCAGGGAGGGATGGCGGCGACGAGGCGGAGGGTTTTCCCAATCGAGTCTGCAAACCAAGCGAATCATCCCGAGCACGTCCTGCCCCCGCGCGCGTCGCGCGCACCCTGCAGGCGCAAGCAGAGAAACTGACAAGTAGGTGGCCTTGCTACCGCGTGCTGGACAGCCAGCACAGCAGCGACCGCGCAAGGTATCCCGAGCAAGTCCTGCCCCCGAGCGCATCGCGCACACTCTGCGGGCGCAAAAAAGGAGGCAAGCGCAAAAAATGATGTGCCTCGTGGCCGCGAGCTTGACGGCCAGGCAACGAGGCCCCCAGCGCGCCTGGGCCGAAACTCAGATCACGCGCCGCCGTGAGACGCACCGGAGACGGCCGCGTCGCCCTCATTCCAGCGGCCTGCCATGGGCGGCTCCTCCACACCAGGCAGCTCGCCGCCTGGCTCGCGGCCGTGCTGCTCCTCCTGTGCGATTGGCTGCCCACCGCCCTCGGGCGGGCCGCTGGCCGCTGCAGCATCGGGCAGCCCACCGCCTGGCTCGCGGCCGCGCTGCTCCTCCGGTGCGCAAGGCTGCCCGCCGCCCTCGCGCGCGCCGCTGGCCGCCGCAGCCGCATCCATATCCAGCAGCTTCTCCACCTCCTGGGTCAGGTGGCACACCTTCGTCCACCTCTGGGCCGCCTCAGCGTCGTCCTCATCGCTCGGGCGGCTGCGTTTCGATGCCGCCGCGAACGCCTTGATTGTCTCGCCGTCCACTGCCTTCAAGGCGATGTGGATATTGTGTGTCTTCCAGACGTGGTCGGCCACCGCATCGAACACCCGCGTGATGTCGGACATGGAGGACATTGCCACGTACACGCCGTCGAACACCAGGCTCAAGACGCACGCGTGCAATTCCCTGGCAGCAACCGCCATGCTCTCGAGGATCTTGTCCTCCATCGTCTGCAGATACAGCGCCAGCGCCGACGACCCGGGATGCTCCTTCAACAACACCTTCTCCATGGATGCAACCTCGCGGTTCCTGGAACTCCCCGCGCCACTGGTGGCCCGCGCCGCCGCGGCCGGGTTCGCCGCGGCCAAGCAGCGAGCCCCGCAGCCACGCGCGGTCGGGCAGGCCAGCGGCGACGGCGAATTCCAGAACCTCGCCTTCTTGTACTCGTCGCACTCAACCGCGAGGATCTCCTGGCCACGCCTGAAAGCGCTCCTCAACTCCATCAGGCACGGCAGTACGTCGTCGGGGCGATCGCTCTCCCAGGATGCATCGGGCTGAATGCTGCCCTAGAACGGCAGCCGCGAGTAAATCCCCTTGACCTCGGACACGTCGATGTTATAAAACTGGGCAACGGCGGCGCGCCACTCTTTGGACTTATCCGCGTACATCTTCACGATCCCGAAGTCGCGCTCAATTGCGCCATCTGGAACATGCGGGCGCAGCGCCTCCAGGAATGTCTGGTAGAACGCCTCAATCATGTCGAACTCGCCCACCGCCCAGAAGTCCTCGAACGCAACGATTCGCGCCTCCCTGGTGCAAGACTGAAGCCCTGGCCCCGACTCGCACGCGCGGCCGATGTCCTTGATCTGGTAGTACTCGCGGCGAAGGACGCGGATGTCTGGGCACTCTGACACGGAAGTCGGGCGGACGACGCCGTCCTTGAAGGCGCAGGCCATGCCCGCTTGGTCCAGGAGATCCACGTACGCGGATAGCCACTCCTGGCGACGCTCGCCCGCGGCGGCAGCCCCGGCGTCGCGCCGGGCCCGCAGCGCGGTCAAGTTGGCTACCTCGCAGACGGTGTAGCGGCAGCGTCGGCTTGGCATTTCGGCTTCGGCGGGCTGGGCGAGCGCGCCCCGGGCGGTGGCGCAGGCGTCGAGGGACACGCTGTGCGTGTACTCCGCGGGGTCGCGGAACGCGGCAGCGTCCGCGAACATTTGGTTGCGCCGCGACGCGTCGAAGGGGGGCACGGCCACGCGCGCCTGCATTCTCTGCTAGCGTGATTTCGCGGCCCCGATCTGGGCGAGATTGACCCCGAGACGACCTGACGCGCGGATGTGGCTCAGGAGGGTAGCCCGCCGCTTCGTCTTGGGGGCGGCCAGTGGCAGTTCGCGCTTGTTCTGCTCCACCTGGCACTGCAGGAGGGCGCGGGACCTGGGCGCGTAGAGGCGGGCGTGGATGTCGTGGACGAGTGCGAATGACTCCGCGTTCGCCCCGCCCTCGTGGGCGCCGTCGCCGCCCAACCTGCTCCACTCGGCCATCCGCCATCCACGCCTCGAGCCAGTGCGCCGCGGTCATCGCCCCTGTCGCTGCCAGCTCGCGCAGCGAAGGGCCCCCGCTCGAAGACGTGGGCGACCTGATCGCGAGGTTGAGCAGGTGGCCGATCGCGAACTCGGGCCTGCCAATCTCCGCCTCGAGCCCGCGGTCCTCGAGGAAAGACCGCGGGGGCGTAGGGGCGTCGAAGGGGTCGCGAAATTTGTTCGGCATGCACATCGGCAGAAAGCGGTCGCGCCCCGAGCCCTTCGGGGCCTGCTCCCGCGACGGGGTGCCGTTGCACGCGAACATGTAAGTGCGCGTGGGCTTCATCTTCTCCGTGCCGCCCGAGTTGCACGCGCGGACGGTAATGGGGTCGGTCGAGTTCCTGCTCTTGAAGACAGCGTTGCTCCAATCCGCGGAATGGGCCTCGCTGCCGAAGGCAACTCGGGCCCCGCGACGAAAGGCGCCCGCCGCGTTGCGCTCGTGCTCGGAGCGCTTGTCCACAGTGAAGACTGTGGCTCGGACAGGAACGCACTACTCCCCCCACGCGGCCCGGGGTATCTTTTCGCCGATGCCTTTGCCATTGCGGCCCCGCCTAGACCACGGCAGCGCGCGCTTGCAGAGCGGTGTGCCCTCGAGGAGCCGCGCCAGCAGGTGCATCATGCAATGGGAATTCTCAGCGTCCGAGCCCCCGAGCGCCTCGGCGCAATTGTCGGGGTGATTGTCGCCCTCGCGCTTGCGCAGCGACCGCAAGATAGACCATGACCTCTGGCGGTCGTCGGCCGACTCGGGCCCTACGAGATCGGAGTTCTGTAGCAACCTATCGCCGAACATGACTATCCTGTATCCATGCCCTGAAACACGCGTTGGTCCTCTGTGTTTCACACAGTGATTCCCCGTTTGAACCGCCTGAACCGATGAAAAACTTACATGGTTGTACACTTGTCTAAATCGGGCGGTGGCGCCGACGACGTCCGCGGGAGCGCCGACAAGGGCGCCGATTCATGAACATGTATACAAACTGGTAGTTTTTCAATAGTCGCGGCGGTTCAAGCGGGGAAAGCGTTGCGTTTTGTTGACCCCCCCAACCCATCCGCGCATCGCGCACCCCCTCATACGGCTGCCCGCCTCTGGGGCACGCGAATCGGGCTGCGCAGGGAAGTCATGTCCGTCGGGCGGCCTGAACTGTTGCTAGGGGTGGGGGTTGCCATCCTCGCCCTCCCCGGGGCATTTCTCTGCGCGACAGCGCCCGGCAACCTCCTGGAACACGGGGGGGACCTCGCCTGGAAGATAGCTTTGACTCTCGTCAGCGATCGCTTGACAATGCGCCACGTCTGATCCCACACCCACCAGTCGTCATCGCGACTGCAGTGCATGATCGGGCACTGGTCCCCTTGGAAGAACAAGTACGCGAGCTGCGCCCGCAACAACTGCGACAAATTGTGGTGGTCAGGCAGCTCCTTGTAATAGACGTACAGGAGGCTGGTCTTCGGGGCGTTTGCATGCTGGGCAAGGAACTCGCCAAGGCGGCTGGTCAAGGACGCATTCGTCGTTCGGGCTGCGGCCGCCACCATTGGATGCGACTCCACTCGGCCCGCGGCGGCTCGGGCGGCAGCATCTGCGACATGGCGATGGCCTGGCAGGGGAAACGCAATAGTATGCCACCTGGAGTTCAGGTATTCGGGTATTCGGGTATTCGGGTATTGGGGGGGGGGGGGGGCGGCTGAATACCCGAATGCCCGAATACCCGAATACCTGCATACCCGAATATTTGAATACCCGAATACTCCAATACCCGAATACCCGAATACCCGAATACTTGAATACCCGAATACCTGAATACCCGAATACCCGAATACCCGAATACCTGAATACCCGCATACCTGAATACCCACATACCCGAATCCCCGAGTACCCGAATATACCCGAAAACCCGAATACCCGCATACCTGAAGCCCCGAAGGCCAGAATACCCAAGGCAGAGAGGCGTTCGGACCTCGGGACTGGAGTGAAGGCGATTGCCGCGCCTGGTCGTGGACGGGGCAGCCCGCCGCGCGCGCGAGGATCTCTCTAGCCCTGAATCGCTGCGGCGCGGCCCAGGCAGACAACGGCGCTGCCCTCGACCCGCCCCCCGCCCTGCCCTATGCTACGGGGGCGGGGAAGTTGTTCCGCAATCGATCGATTGATAGCCGTGGGGCAGTCTGGCCCCAGCGCGCTCTCACTAGAGCACGCGCGGGCGCTTGTAGCCAAAGATCGTGGAGATCTTCACTTTCTGGCGGCTTGGCCCATCGTTGATCCCCTCCCACGCGATCCCCCGGCACTCGGGCGCCGACAGCTCCTCGCGCATCTGGCGCTTCACCTGCGGGGGTACGCAGGCGAAGCCAATGAACATTGCCCCCTGCCCCGCCCACCCTTCCCCTTCCGACGCCCGACCCAATTGGGCCCCCGTCGCCATCTACACCGTCGACGACAGCGGCGCCGCGAGGCAGTCGACGAGGACAGATCCGTTGTTCGCGCTGGAGGTCTTCAGGGAAGCCTCATCGCCCTCGACGTCCGCGAGAAGCAGCTCGACGTCCACGGCGATCGGGTCGACGCACCGCGCGAGCACGCGCGGCATGCGGCAGTCCACTGGCAGCCACGTCGCAACCCCTGGGGCGGGCGGCGGAACGGCGTTGAAACGCCAGAACTTCTTGTAGAACCGAGCCCCCAGGGTGATCCAGATCTCGCCCTCGCCCCCTGCGATGCGCATAGCCTGCTTCTTGCCGAGGAGGTGCCACGCCGCTGCGTGGGCAGCGGCGTCATCCCCGCGGTCGACACATGCGAACTCCATCACTGGGCAGGCCGCCGCCATCGAGGCAGAGCCTGCGCGCGATGGCGGTATCGGTCGGTCCGAGCACTTGAGCCGCGACGCTTGCTGAGGCGGCGATATGCTTGCGGCGCGCCCGATCGCGGGTGCCCCGCGCAATGAAATTTCATGTTCAAACCGCGTTTCCCCCTTTGAACCGCCCGAAACCATGGAACACATATATGTTTGTACACATTTCCATGTCGGGCGGTCGCCCGACGACGTCCGCGGGAGCGCCGACAAGGGCGCAGATTTATGAACATATATGAAAAACCTGTAGTGTTTCAGTGGTCTGGGCGGTTCAAACGGGGAAAACGATACGTTTCTGGACCCCAGCTCAATCGCGCATCAGACGCTCCGTAGCACTAGCTAGCCACCCCTACAGCCAGCTCTGGAGCCCGCGCGTTGTCGCGCTAACCGCTGGCGCCCCCTCACTGCATCTATCGCGGCTGGCTCAGCGTCTCCTCGATGCGCCGCATGATGGCTGCGCTGTTATTCCTGGCCTTGGTCGTCGCCTTCTTCGCGCGCTTGAGCGGCAAGTTCGCCCCGCCGGAGGCCTGGGTCCTGCCCCGCGCACGGCCCGCGAGCTTGATCGTCCCACGGTCGGGGCGCCTGTGCAGGTCCATGTTCAGCTGCCTCTGCCACGCCTCGTGGCACGCGGTCGCGCGGGCTGCCCGCTCCTCAGCCGCCGCCGCTGACGCGCTCGCCCGAGGCGCGTGCAGCCGCGCCCGATCCACCCTCTGGTCTGCCACGGCCGCCTCGTCGTCGGGGGCCGCCGCCTCGTCGTTGACAGCCGCGCCCGCCGCGGCGACGCCCTGCCTGGGCGCCCCTGCGACGACGAGCCCAGAGAGAATGCAGATGGTCCGCCTGTCGGTCAGCTTCTGGAGCGAGGCATCCCCGAGGTTCTTGTAGGCGTTGGTGAGCATGCGGTACAGCCCGTGCACCTCCTGCACGATCTCCAGCCGCTCGAGGCGCTGCTGGTGCACGCACTGGGCCCAGCGCTTCAGGAGCCGATGTTCGGCCTCGTTGGCAAGGGCGCCGCTCGCGACGTGAAGGCCCCCCGCCATGGCCCCGATCAGCGAGTTGTTCATGAGGTGCCCGAAGTGGCCGCGCCGCGCCCCGCGCTGGATCGCGTGGAGCGCCGTAATCCCCTCGAGGTTATTCCTCGCCATCTCGTCCGGGTGCGTCGCCGCAATCCGTTTGAGCTCTGCGACGTACTCGGCGTGGGCCTGGAAAGGTTGCCCCATGAAATCGGCCTCCTCGCTGCCGCCCCTTGGCCCAGCTGCCCCCACTTCATCCCAGATGTCAGCGCCGCTGTTGCTGCCGTGGTACAGGTCGTCGGCCGTTGGCGCCCCCGGCGCCGCGATCAGGAACTGCTTCTGGATCGCCATGATAGAGCGAGAGCAAGACTTTCGCTTCTTCCCAAAACAATGCCCCACGCGGAGCACCAGGTGCATGGCGTCCGCGGCGCGCGCGAGGCCGTTGGGCAGCGCCTCCAGGAAGCTCTCGCTGGGCGAGTCGGTGAACAGGATGCGCACCTGGCTGATCATCTCGTCCGCGAAGCGGTCGCGGAGGGCCGCCGTGAAAGGCTCGATTCCCTCCTTCGGCTGGAGGCTGAAGCCTGGGCAGGCGCCCGTGACGCCGATGAACGTGTGGGCAGTGTGGCGCTCGCCATCGCGCTGCGCCATGCGCGTCTGCCCGATAATGGAGAAGGTGATCTTGAACGCGGCGTCGTGCGCTATCGCCGCCCATTCGCCCCGCTCTGTTGCGGCAGCTTTGAGGCGGCGGAGTGCACTCTGGACGACGCCGTCCGGGCTCTTGAAAATGCTGATCACGCGCTCCTTCACAGTGACCTGCATCTTCGGGAACAAGAGCGGCGCGCCCTCTACGTCCTCCGCCCGCCTGGCCATCATCTCGTCCACGATGGCGCCGACGTGGCCCCTGCGTCGGAGCGCCAGGCCAATGACGGCGTCTTCGAAGTCGCGGGAGTAGTAGACCTTCTCGTTCGCACGGGTCGCGTTGGCCGTCCTGCACTTCAACCAGTACTCTGGGCCAGAGCGCGTCAGGACCATGACGACGGGCACCTGGTTGTTACGTTTCAGCACCTCCAACTCGGCGGGGGGGGGCGCCTCGGTTCCAGCCCCGAATCATGGAACCGCTCTTCTCAAGGAGGTCATCGGCGGCGCCGCCTGGCCCACGTATGCTCTGGGCCATGCGATGTCGGTGCAATGCCTTAGCGACGTTGAGCTGCGGGGAAGTCTTGGCGCGGAGGCCGTGCGCCGCCGCCATGAAGAAGGGGGCCGTGTGGTATTTCATGTGTTCGACCAGGTGCGCTCTGCGCTTGAAGGATCGAAATGGGCACAACTCGCACGTCTGCTCGACAGCGTCGCCAGCGCCGCTGGCCGCCCGGCGATAGAGGGCGTCTTTGTACTTGCCCACTTCGGCGGCCAGTGACGCCGCGAAGGGCCCGGCGGCGCCCTCGCCGACGTCCGCCATGCGCGGGGCTGACCGCGGCGGCGCCGCCAGGGCCTCGAGCAAGCGAGCTGCGCAAGACGCGAGGACGGCGATTGGGGCAGAACTGCGAGAGACAAAACTGAAAAATCATAAGTTGGGTGCGCGGGAGGAAACGACGACGATTGTCTTTGTCTGTAACTTCAACGTGAGCTAGACACGCCAGGGTAGCTTGAGCCACGAGTGCGGCAAGGAGAAAGGTAAACCTGTATTTGCTTCTTGTTACCAGGCCGCTTGCAAATGCCGTTGCGCGCGTTTGCCGCCCCCGCCCCGCCCCGCCCTCCGCCTTCCCCGAGCGTCGCCTTTTCCCTGCCGCGAGCGCCCCTTCGCCTCGGCTCCTAGGTTGCCTGCTGGTGCGCCAGAACCACGCCGACCGCCTGGAAGGCGTCTGGCGGCTTCGGCCTCAGGCGCAAGCCCAAGTGCCCGTCGAGGAGAGAGAGCAGCCTGTCCCGGCGCCTCAGCTGCGCTCTCACCGCCCTGTCGCCAGTAGTCCTGAGGCGGCCCTTCTCGTTGTCAGCCCTGTTCTCCCACCGCCTGAGTTCGCAACAGAGATCCTCCATGTGTAAGATTGTGAAATCTCCCACCCACAAGCTCGGGTCAACCAGCCTCGGCTTCACCTGCGGGAGCAGGGCTCGGAGGCGCCTCGAGTCGTCGCTGTCGTGCGCAGTGCAGCGGCGGAGGACCGCCTCTGCGCCCTCCCCCACAAAGTCGTTCTCCGCCAGGGTGAACCCGTTGGCCGCCTTCGGCCGGACGACGGCCAAGTCGCGAAACATCAGCATCCTGTGCCACTCGGTGTGCACAAGTTGTGTCTTCTCGAGCACGTCGCAGAGCGGCTGCCCCTTCTCCAGCTGCCGCGCCGCCGTCGTGAAGCGGCTCTTCCGCAGAAGCTCGGCGATGTACTTCGCCATCACCTGCTTCTGCTTGTGCGACCCTCTGTGGCCCGCCTGGCGCGCGTGCTCCGCGTTCCAAAAGGTCCTCTGGCACCCCGCGTAGGCCTGTTTGATGGTGGTGTCGTTAACCACCGAGGCGAAAGCGCTCTCGTCGAAACACCTGCCCTCCCCAAAGGCTTGCCCCGAGCGTTCCTCGTAAGTCGCCAGTGCTTTCTCGAGCAAGCCCCCCCCGTTGAACCAGACCCTCGTGAGCAGGATTCTCTGGAGCACCGAAGCAAGGGGCACCTTTCTGGAGTTGTGGAGTAGCGTGCGGAGCTCAAGGTCGGTGGCATTGAGTTCGCGCGACGCCTCGCCGCCACGGTGCGTCAGCCACTCGGGGTGCACGAGGAAGGACGAGACCAAGGGGTTCGGCACCAACTTCGCGAAGAGCTTCTCAGCCACGCTGCGTCCATGCAGCTTTTCGACAGTGTTTACAGCCCTGTCGTTCGCAAAAGCGACCAAGTTGTGTACCTCGTCGTCACGTGTGCGGGCGCCGCGCCGGAGCCCTCCGACCTGGCGTTCGGCTGCGCCTTCCCTCCGTTCGCCGCCATGTTGCCGACAGAGGGGCAAGCCATCTGGCCTTACACAGTTTGTGCGGTGGTACCCTGTGGGGCCCCCTGCCCCTCGGGCTTGGCAGGGCAACCACGTCGCCGACATGCCCAAATACCTGGAGCCAAATCGGCTACGGAAGATGAGGCACATGGGATAACAGGGGAAGTGATTGAACAAGATGACAGGAAGTGCAGGAACTAATAAGAAACATACGAAACATAAGAAGAGGATGAGGCAAGAAGAGGAGGGTTAGGAGTGGAGGTGGAAGAGCAAGATGAAAAGGAGGAGAAGGAGTGTCAATGAGGGCCGAGGTGAATCGAGTAAGCCCGCGATGATGATGATGCTGATGATGATGTTGATGATGATGAGGATGATGTTGATAATGATGATGATGATGATGATGATGATGATGATGATGATGATGATGATGATGATGATGATGATGATGACCACGATGATGATGATGATGATGATGATGATGATGATGATGCGAACTGGTCGGAAGCAGAACTAACACGAACCAATAAGTAGCAAAGCGACCCATTGGGCGGCAAGCGATTCAATCAAATCGAATGCAAGTCATACGGAAAAGGAGGAACCAACAAAATGGTAATGGATCCGAGGCATCACGGGGGCGGGGAGCACCCCCTCCGCAGGTTCGACGACGACGGCGTCGCGCTCGGCGTTGTCGTCGTCGTCGTCGGCGTCGTTGTCGTTGTCGTTGTCGTCGTCGTCGTCGTCGGCGTCGGCGTCGGCGACGGCGTCGGCGTCGGCGTCGGCGTCGGCGTCGGCGTCCGCGTCGGCGTCGGCGTTGGTGTCGGCGGAGTTGTCGGCGTCGTCGTCGGCGGCGGCCACGGCGGCGTCGTCATCATCATCGTCGTCGGCGTCGACGTCTGCGTCATGCTCGGCGTCGGCGCCAGCATCGTGCTCGGCGTCGGTATCGGTGTCTGCGCCGGGCGTCGGCGTCATCGTCGTCGTCATCGTCGGCGTCGGCGTTGGCGTCAGCGTCGTTGT